CAACATGGTTCTCTACAGCGCAACGTACCACCAGGACAAGGAGGCCCGTCGCATTGCGGCGCTCGAAGCCCAACTCCGCATCTCGCACCCGTTCCGCCGGACCACCAGCACCAAGTCGGCGGCCAAGGCATCAGCCAAGCAAGCTACACGCTCCACTACTGCCACTGCGGTGCGCTCTGCGACTCGCACCAGCAACACGCCGATCGCGTCGGATTTGGCGCGCGACCACAAGATGGAGATCGAACGTCTGCAAGCCGAGCACCAAGCTGCTTTGGCCGCCATGACCGAGAAGCTGCATGCTGCTCACGACCACGTGCTGGAGCTTGCGCACCGCGTCCTTCGGCGTGACGACACGATCACTGCGCTCCGTGAAAAGCTCGAGCGCCGCGTTGCGCGCAAGGAGGCCGAAGTTCAACACATCAAAATGCACTTGGTCGACGCCAACGCCGTCATTGCCGAAAACAAGACTACGATTTTGGAGCTCAACGGGCAACTCATCAAGACCGAGACGGTCCTCGCCGACACGGTCGCTCAAAAGGACGACACGATCGCGCAGCTCTCGGAACAAGTGACGAGCCTGAAGGCCCAAGCAGCAACAACCTCCTCCAGTGACGCGCTGGACGCCGCCAACGAGCGCGTGATTCAACTTGCGCACCGCGTCCTTCGGCGCGACGATACGATCACTGCGTTGCGGGAGAAGATGGAGCGCCGCCTTGCACGGAAGGAGGCCCAGGTGCAGCACATCAAGGTGCACTTGGTCGACGCCAACGCCACCATTGCCAAGAACAAGACGACAATTTCGCAGCTCCATACGTGGGTCCAGAGCCTCGAGACCCAGATTCACGCCGCCATCGCCTCCAACGACTCGCTTCTCGCGACTCTGCAGCAGCCAACTCGAGCTACTTTGTGGTCGAATGGACCGCCACGCTCGACGGACGACTTGGATTCACTCGCCTCGTCCGAGATGGAGCCGCTTGCAGAGCCATCGACTTGCGTTTCACCGACTTACCCCATCAACAGCGCCCGCCAACTCGTCAACGCCTCCTCCAACTACAATAGTAAGGACGAGGCGACGTGCCAGACGCATTGGATGTATAACGACTAGGAATACGATCTTATAACACGAAAATCAAATAAAAATTACCATCAAATGGACTGGATCGCAACTCGCTTGGTGAAGTACAGTAGACGGTACTGGAAGGAGCCGTTATTACACCAGACAATGGAATGACGCTATTCGTTGTTGGTGATGAATGTGGTCGAGTTGGCGTCGCGCGGCGCAGGTTTCTTGGGTTTGATGACGCGGGCCTCGGGCGGAATCACCGACTGCGGGTGCTTGGAGACAACTCGGTCCCGCGGGTTGAGGCCGGCGCGGATGTCCTGGAGCTTCTTGGTCGCTTCGACCGACTGCTTGGACTCGAGGACGGCTTGGACGTTGCGGTTGCGCTGAAGGAGCCGCTTCGAGTCGAGGTTGCGCTGCTTGATATGCTCCTTTCGGCGGCCGTCAATGCGCTTGAGAAGCGCTTGGATCTCGGCTTGCTGCTGCTGGCGAAACTTAGTTTCTTTCCGCGTGAAAATGACTTGGAGGTTCTCGTTCATGTTGGCGCGCTCGGCGGCTTCGAGGTCGTCCGCAATGAGCTTGATCTTTTGCGCCTCGGCATAGTTCTTTTGCTGTGCGAGCCGGTGCTGCCGGCGCCGCCACTCGATGAGCTCTTTCGAAAACTTGGGCGGCCGCTCCATGAGCTCCTTGTGCAGCTTTTCCTGGAAGCTGCGCAAATCCAAGTTGTGCTTGTCGGTCATTTGCCGAATGTACGCCTGCGCCATGTTGTCGTACTCCTCCATGTACTGGTCCCACGCCATGTTGAAGTCCGTGTACTGCATGTTGTGCGCAATCTGAATGTCTTGGCGCTCGGCGATCTGCTTGGCCTTGAGCGACTTGGACTGCCGCTTGGCCTCTTGCGTGCGCAGCGCCACGAGCTGCGTATCGGCGCGCTGCGCTTCGAGGTAGTTGCCGTCCTCCTCGCATTTCGCGCGGTACTCTTCGAGGATGTTGATAAACTCCATCACCTTGGGGTCCGGGCCCACATTGTACGGCGAGTCTACGTCGCACCCTAAGATGCAACGCAGGGTGTGTGATGAGGTACCAATGTCGGGCTGCTTGCGCACGAGCAGTAGAAATTCCTCAAACGTGATCGTCTCGTCGTCTTGGCTCAGCTCGATCGACTTGAGGAGGTCGTCAGCTACCGTATCGTCACTCACGGCTTCGAGGAGACGCATACGCGTACCTTCGTGGGGCGGTCGACCGAGCTTGGCAAAGATAGCTTCGAGGTGCTGGATCGAAATGCGCCCGACGCCGTCTTCGTCAAAGAGCGAAAAGACAGCTACCGAGGTAAGCTGAGCAAGCCGAATCTCATTTCTGATAGGTACCGCTGAGCGCCGAGACCTCGTCGGCCGAGTACTCGTCCGCCGTGTTGTTGAGCGCCATGCCTCCGTTGTCGAAACTCAAGAAACGACTCGCAAGAGCTATTCATAGGTCCACGCCACAGTGGCGAGACAGGAGGTATCATTTATCATATCTACACTAGTTGAGCCACGGATGGCTGAGGATCTCGGCGGCCGTCACGCGCTTGGCTACACAGCGTGGTATTTCAGGATATATATATCGATAGAGTGGGTCGTACAGGGCTGGAACTTCATCATGGCCTCGAGAAAGGTCGCAAACGGCTCGGCTTCGTCCGCTGCAAACTCATACTTTTCCATGAGCACGTCCTTGAGACCCCAAAACTTGAGGTTGTGGATCTTCTTGAGGTCGCCCTTCTTGTTGAAGTAGTCCTTGCTGTACTTGCCATTCGTCGCAAACGATTTCGGCATCTTCCCGAGCAGCTCCATCATCTGCGCGAGGTGATCTTCGTCGCGCGAGTAGTTCTTGCCGCTCTTCGGGTCAAAGAGAAGCTCGCCCGTCGCAAGCTCAAACAAAAAGCACGCCATCGACCACATGTCGGTCGACTGGTCGTAGTTTTGGCCCAAGAGCACTTCGGGACTGCGGTACTATCCCAAATGATCGAAATCGTTCGAGAGCTCCAAGTACATACCTGGCGCGTCTGGATGTCCTGGGTAAAGTGCTTGTACGTCCAGCACGCGTTCCCGAGGTCGGCGATCTTGACGTCGTAGAGCGGCACGTTGGTCGCTTCGTCCAAGTGCCGCGTCGTTGCGAGCGTTTGCCACGACGCAACGCGCTCGTGGATGCTTCGGAGGAGCCGCGGCGACGGCAACACAATGCCTTGCAGCGCGTGGTCCAGCGGCGACTCGGTGGGAAAGTGAAAGCCGCAGAGCGCATGCGTAGCAGCCGCGCGGACGTTGACGAGGTGGAACACCGGGCCAAGCGACTCAGCAAGGAACGTGCTGATGAGGTCCAGGTATCGCGCGTCGAGCTCGAGGCGCCACACTTCGACGCGGTCGACCTCGGTCCCAGCGCCGAGGATCGTCGACGCTAGCGCGTTGTACGACGCGTCATCGTCGTCAGTCGTCTTGTAAAACCTACATCAACAGTCTCGTCTTCTCCTTCTATCAGTGTATGGTCGCGTACTTAAACGAAAAGCACGTCGAGCTGCGGGAGCCTGGAATGACCTTGGCGGCCGCCGACGGAATGCGCAGCTTGAGGCGGTAGACGCGGTTGCCGACACCCATGGCCGCCGACATCTAGTCCAGCATCAGACGACCATCATCGTTGCAAGGAGGACGTACAAACTGCGGCGGCACAGCGACCATGATGCGCATGGCAAAGTTGGACGAGATGGCGTAGTCGCGGCTCGTGCGGGCGTCCACCAAGTACTCGTGGAGCGACGACTACGTTCTTAGGATGAATCTTCGAGTGTTGAAAGAGAGCGATGGCACCAACCTCGAGGGGAGTCGACGGCTCGGCGACACTGCTGCTTTCCAAATCCCGCAGGATGAATGCGTCATCGTCGATCATGGGTGCGATCGCAAGCGCAGCGAGGTCGTCGGCCAGCGCTGTGTCGGCGTCGTCCTCGATCGTAGGGCCCCCTACCTCGTCGGCCTTTTTCTGTTTTTGCTTCTTGCGCTTGTTGCGCTTCTTGAGCTTCTTGCGCTCGTCGGCCGTCATGGACGCTTCATCCTTGGGTCGGACGGGGGCTTTCGGGAGCTTTGGGAGCTTCATGAGCGCATCGACGAGAAGGACGTTCTCGGGCTTGAGGTCCGTGTGGATGATCTTGCACTCTTCATGCAGGAACGCCATGCCTTCGAGCATCTGCTTGGAGATGACTTTGAGCAGCGGCAGCGGAATGCCCTTGTAGTCGTAGCGCTTGATGAGCGTCAAGAGGTTGTCGCCGAGCATCTCAAACACCATGCACATGTCTACCGTACACATGAGTCCTCGTCGTTGTGCAAGATTGAACGTACGCAAGCCGTTGGGACCGCGGTGCTCAAAGCTCGCGATCAGCTTGACGACGCGCGGGTACGGGCCGCCCTTCTTCTTCGCGGCCTCGTTGACGCACTCGAGGAGCTCGACCTCGTCCCGCGCCGCCTCCATGTAGTGCTGCGCGCTCTTCTGCACCTTCATGGCCACGTCTCGCTGCGTGGTAGCGTCGTGGCAGCGCCACACGGTCGAGAAGTGGCCCCACCCGAGCTTGTCGAGCACCGTGAAGCGGTCGTTGTAGACATCGCCGACGCGGACGCGGTGGTAGCCGCCGGGCTTGTAGCTGCTCTCCTCTTCTTCGTCGCTCTCGGAGCTGGACGCGTCGCTCTCGCTCGAGTACGAGTCGCTCTCGCTCATGACGCGGCCCTTGGTCGGCGCCGGCGTCGTGCCCGAGACCTCGGTGGACTCTTCTTCGAGCGCCTTCTCCTCGAGCGATGGCATCGGCTTCTTCTTACCGGACTTGCCATTCGGCGGCCCCGACTTCCATTTCGCTGGCTTGACCGTCTTCTTCGCTTGGGCCGCTGAGCCCATCGTCGACGACATGATGGTTGGAGCACCAAACAATCGCAAATATTTCGATGGATTTTGACCAATCAAAACCGCGTCCACGTTATCCGAGCTTTGTGCCACCGATGCGGTGGTAGCACGCTGATGAGCAGAAGGACGCCGTGCACGAAGCGTGGCCCTGGCAAAGACTTGGCTGTGACTCTGGCTACGGCGATGGCAACGAAGTGGCCATGAGTGGGATACGTGGGTCACGAGAGCAAGGCGGTGCACGACCAGCAGATTGGAGAAACGTGTTTGTATCGAGCAAGTTGCTACCTCGAAAGTTGCCTTTCTCGTAAAGCAAAGCGCACAAAGGAGCTTCACTTCAACTACACCTACAACGGAGAGCGGCAGTACACGACAAGCTCACCTCGTCGTAGCAACTCGTAGAGTATCACGATTGTGTGGACGGCGCGTAGAGCTACGTCTGGCATGTGTATGTGTTTGCGGAAGGAGCCTACGATTGATGATATCCTTGGCGAGGTACGTGGACCTCGCTGGCACAGGGAATGCTTGGCGCCAGTGTCGCCGACGCACTTTGCCAAACGAGCTCATCAGTGCTTCGAGCGATATCAACAAGCTCCAGCGCACATGTTGTCAACCCGAGTGCGACGACTCGATCATCCCAGCTCTCGGTTTGCACACAAATCGAAATGGACTCTCACGTATTGTATCTTCAGCATCCGCACGAATCCAAGGACTGTACAGTACCAAATGTGCTGCTTGGTGCCGGGTACCGAGTTTGAGAACACTCTCACCAAGCTCTTGAGCTCCAACGGCTTCAAGTTCGTGCCAACTAACGCTTCGAGCGTACAAGCGAGGGCTTCCTGGAGTGCAACTACAAAAGGTTGAGCGAACTGAAGCGAGGCGCAGGCAACGATCTACAAGCTCTGTATGTAGTGATATCCCAATTCACCTCGGGCGACGACGACATAGTGGTGCTCCTGTCGTCGCCAGCCACGGATTTCGTGCGCTTCAAGTTCGTCTACTAAAGACACCTGATTGAACTGCATGTATGCTGTGTGAGGCATACGGTATCAAGCCTTCAGACACGTATCGACTTGCCACTCACTCGTACCTTTGCCATATTAGCACTGTGTCGATCGCAGTGACGTGGCAACTCGATATGACGGCTTGTTTCCGGTAGTGCAGTTTTGGCCAATCGACGCTCCGCAATAAAACGGCTGTGAATTGCACACCGCTCCATACAATTTTCAAGTAGGTACTCATGAAACCATATCTTCAATTTTTATTCTATTTTATAATTCTCACCACGATACCTCGACCACCTGCGCGCCCCTTGCAGAGCCAGAGGCGCAGGAGGGCGCATGACCGATTTGGTTGTATGCATGTGATCACCTCCTTCGTTGGCCCGCGTTTTATGCTGGCTGTCGATGCACTAATGCTTCCCAAGGAACCGAGCTATTGAATTTCACACGCATTTACCACGTGTGAAATGCATGTGATAAATAAAATCCACCTCCTTGAACGACGCTTGGTGGGATATCGAAGAAGAGCATTTGCATTGCGATCGGCGACCATGATTGACAGCGCGATGGTCGGACGCTGGCTCCACGCCGCCTTCGGTGGCAAAGACTCCCTTTCCCGCGACGACCTCCTCTCGATCGTGCTCAGCATGCGGGCGGACAAGGATGGCCCATGGACGTTCGCGCCGGCCGGCGCCGTGCCCGAGGCGCACTGCATGATCGCGAGAACGCTGTCAAAGTACAGCAAGGCTCTCCCGCGGAACGAGCGACTCGCTGCGCTCGAGCAGCTTGCGGCGTTTGCTCGCGCCAGCCTCGACCTTGTGGACGCCACGTAGGAGCAAGCCGGCGTGCAACATGATCGATGCCTGTATTAGGACCACGACCCACACGCCGGCGCGGATTTCCAAGAAGAGACCCAGCGACGAATCTCAAGAGTTAAGCGCAAAGAAGGTCAAGACTGACGACGATGGTCAAGGTGCGGAGAGCGCACTGCCACCCAAGGTACAACCTTCTCAACTCGTCTGCCGTCGCTTACGCGCGTTCTAGGTGAGCGCTAGTGCATTGCCGACAATGAAAGACGACGCGTCTGGACCGTCGCCCGTGGTACGTCATTCCATTTATGTGGTGGTCGCTTTATGAGAATTTGCTGTAGGCGAGCCGCGTCGAGACGGCATGGCTCTTCACAGAGCACCGCCTGGGCGACGACATGGAAGCGCCGACCCCTTCCGAGCGGTTTTTCAACGGCGAGGTCGGCGGCTTCATTTTCATGTGCGACCCCCAGACGAAGCGGCCGATCGAGGACGAGCGCTACCCGCTGCGCATGGACGTCGACACGGCGCGCACGGGGTTTCAAGCGGTGCGCGGGCTCCTGCCGCGGTGCGACCAAGCTCTGTCCATGGTGAATTCGTACCTGGACACGTTGACGGCGCTCAACATCGCCGTGCCGCAACTATACGGCCCGCTCGCCGTGGCCATCGAGCTCGTACTTTTTGTCCTCAAGCACGCTGTGGGGTGGCATGCCGGCATGTCCGACGAAGATCGCGACGTCAAGCTGCGTGCGATCTTGGCCGAGAAGGACCCCGAGCGCAGCTTGGACAACGTGGTGCAGCAGCGTCACGAGCTCGGGTTTGTTTGGGTGCCAGCGCCTCAAGCCACGACGACCAACGATGCCAACGCTGCCCCTCCCGGCTTAGGACGATGTCGTGGACGGTCGCATTGATCTACACTGTCTGCGTCCTCCTATCTGGTTTAGTGTAGCCGACGAGTGCTAGACGGTCGGAAGTACTAACTTGAATTCATTAGTTTATGTTTTGATCGGTGCCACATCTTGTCCTTCTCATGATTCAAATCAAGCTCTTGCGATAAGATATGGCCGCTGTCTGGCAGAGCAGCCAGGAAGACAGCAGACCTGGTCGGCGACGGGCAAGAGCGGATGCGACACGCGACCTCGGTGGAGCAGAGCAAACTCTTCGTGCGATGAGGTTGGTGTAGTAGACCCACTACGCAATGACGACGTTTGACCAATCAAAAGCGATCCACGATTCGCGCCATCGTCTCTGAGGACGCCACGTGGAAACGAGAACCAGGTCCGTCATCTGCATATCTATAGCGCGAGGCGTGGCACTCGTGGACGTGAGTGGGACCTTTGACCATGCTGGTTTCGTCGTCCGATCCTCTTCGAAGCTCAAGAAGCCAACGTAGGAAGCCATCTTCTCCCTTGCAAGCTTCCGCAGCATGTCTCGACGCCCTCGAGAGTGGGCTCGAGACGGGTCGACACCGCAGAGGTGAGCAGCTGCGAGTCGTCCAGCCCCTTCGGACTCCTCGCACCCGATTGGCGACGTCACCTTGTGTGGCCGATCGACACCTTGAAGCTGCGACGCTGATCCTGAGTTGAGCTGCACCGTCCGTCGGCGGCGTGGGTGTATCGTCAGTACGAAGGCTGGCGACACCGCTGGCGACGACCAAGACGATGACTTTACCCGTGCGAAGGAGAAGACAGAGTGTACACCCGAATATGTGGATTTTGATTATAGATAAGAGTATTATAGTAGTGATGATAGTAGTAGTTAGTTGTTGTGGATGCCGAGGTGCTTGAGGTATTTGAATCGGATTTCCTTGGAGCCACGTGGCGCGACTTTGACGAGCTGTGCTTGCTGCTGGAGGAGCGCGGCGGCTCGCAGCTGTTGTTGCAGCAATGTCTCGGTCTGCTTCTGGATCTCGACCGCGACACGGCGCTGGTAGTCCTCTTCGGCCGCCATCATGTCGTTCTCGGCGGCTTCCATCTTGACCTGCTCTTCGTACTCGCGCTCCATCTCATCGTACATCTCGTCGAGGTTGCGCTCGACCATCGAAATGAACTCTTCGCGCGTGTACCACATTGCGTCGCGTTGCCGCCGAGAGAGCTCGCGGTGGAGCGGGATGTGATACATGACGGCCTCTTCGTTGAACTTGATCTGCTTCTTCTCGGTGGGCGCATCAAGCGGCGACGTCCGGGGCGGTGTTAACCGCCCTTGCTGCAGCATCCAGATCGACGACTCTTTGGGCGGCGTCGCATCGGCCTCCGAGTCGGAGGACGACGACGACATGGGCGACTCGGCGGTCGCAATCGCTTCTTCGACCGCGGCCTCCGAGATGTCGCTGTCGCGTGAGTCGTTGCGCACCCAGCGCGAGAAGGCTTTGAAAAAGCTCTTGGACTTGGGCTTGATGTGGACGTCGTTGAGCTTGACCTTGATGCCTTCGCGGTTGATGCGCCGGCGGCCCGTCGAGCGCTCGAGGTCGCGCACCGAGAGGTTGATGCCAAGCTGGCTCCAGTACTGCTGGCGGATCGCGAGCGGGTCGCGCTTGAGAATCATGTTTTGCGGCGGCGAGTGCATGTTGAGCGGCAGCGGCGGCATGTTGATCTGCACAGCGCCAAGCATCGACGGCTTGTCGAGCAGCATCGTGTGGGCGTCGGCCATCGGGCACACGGCGAGGACAGGCATTGGCTTGAGGAGGCGGTCTTCGATGATCGTCTCGTCGGACGAGGAGCTAGATGAGGACGTGGCGTCGGGAAAGTCGGGCAGGTCGTCGTCTTGGTCGTCGTCGTCCAGCGGCAAGGTGTCGCTGAGCTTCGAGTCCTCGTGCGTAGGCGAGCGTATCGCAAAGTGACCGACGACCGCTCCTTGGTCGGTACTGCACATGGTCGAGGGCGACGGCTCCATCTGATTAATGCGCTCGGCGCCGTAGGAAAATGTTGCTCCAGGGATGGTCGAGTATTTTATTCTTCTTTTTTATTGCCTTTGCCTTTGCCCAATATTTTAATTCCATCCCAACAGAATACAGGGCATTTTGACTTCAGGTCGTATGGGATTCGCGAACGTTTGGACGAAAGTTTTAATATTTCAGCGCGGTACGTTTATTATTATTGAATGCGACGATGATCGGGCTGGCATTCCTTTTCCCGTCGTCGTTTCAGATCTGGCGACTGGCACCTTGGAGCGTCCAGGTGGTTGCACTAGACAACAAGCTGCTGGCCGCGCTCAGTAGTGCACTACACTTTATACTCGGCACTTAGCGAGGTTGCTCGAGCAGCAAGGTCGCGCGACATTCGTCCGAGCACAGCGAGCGTCCTGTAGAGACATGCTGCTCCGCAGGATTCGGCCACGCGCGACGTCTGGACCGCGGGAATTTCGCAGAATTAATTTCCGGTCCTGAGAGTGAAACTATCATCCAGTGCGCGGTGTTGAAGTCGGGTGATGGATCGCATTTATTTTATTCTATTTATTTTATTTTATTGATTCCCACGCCCGCGCGCCAGGTCTGAATTTTCCTGGCAGTTGCCAAGCCGCACGGCGACTTCAACGTTCGCGGCTGCTGGCCCCAACGCTCGCAGCCCCTCGTCCGGTTGTTCGTCTCGGCACGTCCAGTGTCCAAGCTGCTGGCGACGACGAGCACTAATGGTGATACAAGCCACGCACACGGTGGTTACATAAGCGCCGCCCGGCTAAACGGTCGCCCGGCTCTTTGGTCCAAACTTGCCTTCAACGCCTGTCCTTGCTGCTAGTTAATGCTTCTATGTTAAAAAGCGCTTGGCTGACGGCATGCGAAGTTCGAAGACACTAATGCCGGTTCTGGCTCGGCTGACTCAAACCTTGGTTCGAAGTTCGAAGCAATGATGATGACACTCACCCGTCCAGGTCACCGAGGGTGCTAGAGAGCAAGCGCTGCATGTCGTCGTCGTCGGTCCCGTGTCGCCTCTGGTCCGATGACAAGGCCCGTGGCGAGCCGAGCGTGGGCGTGCTGCCGCTGCGCCCGATCCTCGGCATTGGCTGCTCGGTCTTCTCCGTGCTCGGCTGCCTCTACATCATCATCGCCTACCGAGTACGCCAATCGCGCAAGGTGTACGTCGACTCGGTGGGCCGCCTCGTGCACGTGCTCGCGTGGCTCGACTTTGTGGGCTGCGTCGCGCGCATACTCCTCGAGGCGCTCAAGCCATCGAACCCGTCGCAGCTCCTCGACCTCGCCAACGCCTCGGCGTCGCCCGACTGGTTCGACCAAAACTGGACTGCCGCCTGCGAAGCGTGGCGTGACCATGCGGGCCAGGTCCTATGTGCAGGTAGTCCTTGCATGTGTCTGTCGTTGATATGTGTTCTCATCGCATTTCTTTCTAGTGCTGCACTTCTCGCTCATGGGCTCGATCTGCTGGCACTGCATAATGGCAGTCAACCTCTACCGCTGGGTCTGCAAGGGCGACGACCAGCGTGTGCTCCACCAGCGCTTCATTTCCTACTTTTGGTGCATGGCAGCGTTCGCGCTGCTCATGAGCGTCCTTCCGTACCTCGGTACGTCCTACCTCCCGTCGTCTTCTTCCTACGACGTCGTCGTGGCACATAGACAAGGCGTACGATACGCACTCGTACTCGATGCGATTCGACGAGATCGCGTACGCTGTCGGCTGCCACTACGCGTGGCTCGTTCTCGGCTGGTTCTTTATGATCTTCTTCCTCTTCCGCGTGCAGTACGACATGCGCCAGCGCCTCGGCAGCCCAGTCGGGTAGCATGTTCCCATATGATATTGATACTAACTCTGATGCGATGTTAGCTTGGCCAACCGGAATGCCGCCGTTGCCTACAACGACGTCGGGCGCAAGCTCGTGTTGTACGTCGGCGCGTACCTCGTGTTTCGCATCTCCAACGTCATCGATTGGCGTACGACTCGCCTCGCGATTGGGTCCATCACTTGATACCTCGATAGTTTTCAACATGTCGGACTTGACTGAAGACGCTTACTTTGTGCCTGTCCTCATTCTCAACAACGTGCTCGCGCCGCTCACCGGTCCCCCATGACGCGTCGGCGTCGCTCATCTCGATTCATAGGGTTTGTCAACGCCGTCATTTACGGTGGCATCTCGCCCCACAGCGTCTACCAGCGCTGCTGCTGTCGGCGCCGGCAGAGCCACAGCTTGGACGCCGCCGATGCGTTGGAGGCTGCGTCGGCCATCGACCGCCGCCCGTCGCTTCCCGCCGCCCATGCAGTGCACGCCTTGGGACACGCAAGGCTCTTTGTATCCTCGTACGACTTGTGTCGGTCGCAGTTTCCAAGGAGTTTGCTCCCTCTCTGGCTGCCGTCGCGCGCGATGGATATCTATGTACTCGGGCTTCTCAACTGCGTCGACGTCGACGACGCCAAGCGCAGCGTCCTCGAGCACCTCAATGCGCGCTTCGCACCGTTGACGCAGTACCAAGTGTTTGCGTGCCACAGCCGCAAGGCTCTCCACTCGACGGACGCGCCGATTTTGCAGCTCGTGTTTGCGCGAAAAGCCGACGTCGCCTCCGGAAGTGTCGCGATCGATGTCGATCGCCAAGGCCGGAGCGGGTCGCGCCACATCACGGGCATGTCGCTTCGGTACTTTGACGTTGCGATCGCGTTTGCGACGTGCGCCTTCAAACCGTCGAGCGAGGTGCGTCTCTAGCGTGTACGACGAAGCTCAAGGGCTGGCGTAGGACTACCTCATGCACCGCAAGCTAGCCGAAATGGGCAAGGTCCTCCAGACGTTCTCGCCCGACGTCGACAACCCGGGTTTGGATTTTCCGCACCAATACCACCACACGATCCTTGCTGGTATGACCTAATGGCTGAAAGCGTGTGACGGCTTAGGACATTGCGTAGGCAACTTTAACTTTAAGCTCCAAGCACACAGTGGCAGCTCGCTCCAGGAGCGCATCGACGCGGCCATGAGCGCGCAACTTCGCCAACGCACCGCTGACGACGCGCTCGATGCGTACTTTAGCGAGGCGCCGCCCCGCGCCCGGACCTCGACCGACTCCAAGTCGTCGCGTAGCCAGCACGATAGGGTGTACGAGACGACGTGCGAGATGCGCCAGTCGGACGTTGTTTTTGGCCTTGTGCAAAGTCCGATGGAGCCAACGAACGACGACGAGAAGGCGAGTCCGCACCGCGCGACTTCGTTTCGCTCCTTCTTGCGGGCCCAGCTGGGTAGCGGGCCACCAAGAAAGGCGCGCGAGACCCAGTGCGATCTCGTGCAAGCCGCCAAAGACGCAAACGACGATGCGGTCGCCAAGTGGAACGACGTCTTGCAGTGCGACCGCCTCCGAACGCTCATGGACAGCAACGACGTTCGCTGCGAGATTGAGTTGTCGGCCGTTGACGGTGAATATGTAGGTCTTGTGCGGCTTTGAAGAGCCGCCGATTGCGTTTCCACCGTCGTTTCCGAGGGTGCTGGGCGCTGGCGAGACGACGAGTGCGATGGGACGTCGGCTCTTTGGTCCTGGCGACCTGGCGTACGCCGATCGCATATTTTACCACTCGCTGCCCGGAGTCGAGGTGCGATTGATTCCTATATTTCACGTGTAAACTCGGTGGTTAGCCTCGGCTCTCGGTCGACGCGTACTATCTGTGTGAAGACGTCGGGGGCTCGCCGCACAAGCCCATTTGCGCCGAGTTTCGCCTTGAAGTCAACCGGTTGCACACGGCGCAGTTGCATTCGAAAGAGTCGCAAGTGCAGCACTTTGGCTTCCATCTGCGCAACTTGGACGCAAATTTATGGGAGCCGCTGAAGCTCACGCGCGGCCACTCGATGCGCGCGTCGTCCGCCACGTCGTTGTCGCGGCCGCCGTCGTTCTTGGAGCGGCCCGCGACCAAGTGCGCGCGCAAGAAGCTCGAGAAGGTGCCCGAAAACTTCTTGACGTACCCGATGCACCACGCGTTCAGCGGCGGCGCCACGCAGCTCCACGCGTGGAAGCAGCTGCAAGCGTCGTCGTCGACGCCGTGTGAGTGCAAGTATTGCGACGCGCCGTCCGACGACGAGTCCATCGGTACCCTACAATATAGAGCAGCTTCAGTCTCAATGCATGCTGCGTAGCGGTGCAGTCAGTGGAACCCGCGCGACTCTCGGTGGTTTTTCCTCTGCCGTCCGTAGACAATTTTCGCTCCCAGCGCAAGGTACGACGTATCGATGGATCAAGTGCCCAACTGTCCTCTTGACTAGATTTATGAGCTCGCGCAGAGCGTGACGCAGGGGTATGACGTCGCTGACGACGCGATCCGCGCCCACGACGACTACACCAACTGCACCGAAGTGTCGTGGGCCGATGCGCTCGCGCATGGCGTCGTGCACACGTCGGTCACAAGACGCAGTGCGACCGACGCCGTCCTCCACGTCGGTGTCAAGGTCGAAGGACCCCGAGATGCCGGTGGTGAAGGCGTCCTCGCGTTGCATCCGCGGGACATTGGCGTGAGCCGGCAGTTTGACGTCGCGCTCACGTGGGGCGGCAAGCACACGGGCTATCTGCACGTCGACGTTGAGCTGTTTCATGCTGTCGACACGGACACGCGGCGCCATATCCACCAAGTTCGCTTGACACATTGATACTATTTAATGGATCAGATCCTGCAGTGTCAGCGTGCTATCCGGTTGGTCGGGCGGGAGGACATACGGCACGTGCACTTTGGTGGGCGGCGGTGGCGGCGGGAGCTCGTCGATCGTACTGACGCTAACCGGTTGCTTCCTCTCGGCCGCGACGCGCGCGACGCGTTCGAGCTGCAGCTGCTTCCGCAGCGCGGCAAGCTGCTCGAGCATCGCATTCTGCAACAGCGCCTTGGACTGTTTGAGCTGCTCGATCTGTGTTGCTTGCGCCACGAGCTTGTCGCGAAGTAGCTGCTGCTCGTCCATCGCCGTCGCGCTGATGGTGACGGCTTCGTTCATCGCCCGCGCCGCTTCGTTGCGCTACAGAACGTTCTTGCGCTCGCACCATTTCGCGGTATATGATCTTACTTCGTGCGAGACGCTGGCGAGGTCCACGAGCGACCGTTCCATTTCAAATTGCAGAGCGCGCGTCGACGCCGCGTGGGCTTGCACTTGGTCGCTCAAGCCTCCACAGCGCGCCTCCAGTGCCTACGCCTCGTCAGCCTCGTGTACTTACGATGCAACGACCTCGATCTGGCGCCGACAGTCGGCAATGTCCGAGCTCTGGGTGCTGCACGTGGCTTGAAGCGCCTCTTCGCGCAGGCGCAATGCCTGCATCTCACTGGACGCAGTACGCAGCTAACGACGCGTGCAGCAGCTGCGTTCATGTACGCTGGTACCTTGTGTCCCTCGGCCTCGAGCTCGTCGGCTTTCTCGTCCAAGAGAGCACGCAGCGCGTCCGAGGTCGACCGTTCGTGGGTGATGGCCTCTTGCGTGACCGTGTACGCCTACACGATCGTAAAAGGTGTGATGGGTACTGCACCGTACTTGGAGCAGTTTGTCGTAGCTTTGTTGACTCTCGGCTGCCGACGCCGTCAGCTCGTCCATCGTCGACGATCGTCGTTGCAGCTCGAGCTCGAGGGCTTCGATCGCCTGCGTGTGCTGGGCGGCCTGCTTCTTCATGGCCGCTTCGCCCTTGAGCAGCTTCTCTGTCTGCTCCTGCACGTAGCTCAGCAGCAAGGCTTTCTCTTCTTTCAGCGTCTTGATGTCGGTGCGAAGGCTGGCGAGAGTCGTCTCGCGCGCGGCGATCGTCTCTTCCCGCCGTGCCACAACGCTCTCGAGGTCGTTGCGCACCTTGTCTATCGCTTGCAGCTCGGCGTCTTTCTTGGCAACGACGCTCTACTTGCAACTGCGTCCAACCAGCAGCGAGTGAGCTGCTGGACACGTACCTTGAGGCAAGTCGACTGGTCGACTTCCAGCGCGAGCTGCAGCGCGAGCGACGCGTTCGTTTCCTGAAGGCGCGCGATCTCGTATATGAGGCCATTGTGGACGTTGTTGTCTAAGCCGAGCTCCCGGACGCGAACCTGACGCGCGCGAATTGATAAGAAATACATGCGCCGATGATCGTACGTCGAGGGCGCGCTTGAGCACGGTAATCTTGGCGTCGAGGTCTTTGATGCGGTCGTCCTTTTCGCAGCGTAAGCGACTGTAAGCGACGTCAGCTGTACCTTGGACTCTAGCGTCAGTAGGGTTTCGTGCCGGTCCTTCTCCATTTCGAGCATGCGCGCGGCCATTTCGGAGTGGCGGGCGGCCGCAGCCTACGCCATTCGTCATTCTGGTCCATACGTGGGCTATATCTACCTGGCCTTTGGCGCCCATGGCAAGCTTTTGCTCAATGCGCTTGGCGTAGTCGCGGTTGGCGATAGCTTGCGCTTCGACCATCTTCTTGTCCGATGCCAGCCGTTGGAGCTACCGAAGGCGAAGATCACGCGATTGCACCGCCAGTGTCGACGTACAAGCGCAGCCTTCTTGGCGAGTTCCTTCTCGTACGCCTTGTTGTCGGCGCGCACCTTTCGCACTTCGGCGGCCATTGCATCGTGCTACTGCGCAATGACATGGAGTTCTGACGTCGGCTGAACTACCTTGAGCGTCGTCTTGTCGAGCTGCTGGCGCGTGCGGTGGTAGCGCGTCTCGAGCTCGCGCAGCTGCTTGTTCAGGCTGGCAACGGAGCTGCTTCGTGCCGGGTACACGGCGTCCGACGTCTCGGCCTCCTCCGGATCGATCTGCTGCGCCATCAGTATCCTGAGCGAAACGGCGCGATCCTGGCTGAGTGTTATAACACATTCACAACAGTATCGCTGCCTTAGACTGGTCACGTCTGATTACCGCTTCCGTACGAAGTGCTTCTCAGCTGCGCAACGTGCTTGGCGGATCTAGAACCTGAGCGCATCCACCAGTACGTACCCTCGACACGAGGACTGACTAGCATAGCAGCACTGCGATCTTCCATCATCGATCCAAACTTCAAGCTTGAAAAAATGGAGCACGACCGTACTAGAATTTTGGCGCCAAGACACACCCAACTCTCAGATGCTTTTGGTAAGCTTACGCGCGTGGTCTCAGTGCCGTGTCCTTGTCGCTGAGAGGAGGCCCTCTGCCGTTGCTCTCTGCCCAGCGACAAACAGTGTTATAACACGCGGATCGACCAACGTTGGCACGATCACCACTCTGAAATATCTGCGATTTGAGAAAACGGATGGCACCTGGATCAGCGTGACTTGGTTAATGTATTGATTGGTGGAACTCAATCGAAAAATTGAGTTGACTGCGCGAAGTTCGCCAATCAAACGTGGGTGTGTTGCTATCTGACTATTCTCAGATGCTAGTCCAGATGTCGATTCACTGCGGGGAATTCGCTCACCTCTACCTATCCTTACCATATAAGCTTGAAAACCCCGCTCTTCTCAGCACAATTAAGAATTTGGCACGTTGTTGCAAGGGAATCTCCCAACCGCATGGCCGCGCTTGCTCATCTCACTCGACAACTTACCAACATGCAGGCAAAGCTCCTCCTCGCGTCGCTTGCGTTCGCCGCTTTCGCCGCCGCCGCCGACAAGTGCCCGACCGTGTGCATCGACCTCTTTGACGAGGTCTGCGGCTCGGACGGCAAGACGTACGGAAACGAGTGCAAGCTCGACATCGCCGCCTGCGCCGACCCGACCATCAAACTCGTGAGCAAGGGCGCTTGCGGCGGCTCGCCGACGCAGGCCGGCTGCCCGATCCGCGGCTGCATCGAGATCTTGTCGCCGGTCTGCGGCTCAGACGGCGTCAACTACGACAACGAGTGCTTCCTCCGCATGGCCAAGTGCAAGAAGCCCGAGCTCACGCTCGTCTCCAACACGTCCTGCGATGGGTCGACGCTAAACTCGACCAAGACGACGGCGCCGACCACGGTCGTCGCGACGCCGGTGGCGACGACGGCCACGCCCTCGACGGCGGCCCCCAAGGCGCCCAGCGCTGCTGTGAGCACAAACGTTCAGTGCGGTGTGCTCGCCCTTGTCGGCCTCGCTGTCTATGCCACCGCGTAATTGGTGCACCGTGTTAATATAAAGTCAAGCTTACTACTATCCACTTATCTACTATTAACGTTAATACATGAATGTCGACGAACTTGAGCACAACTTGTGCAGCCGACTCCAGCGCGTGGAACACTTGGGCTTCGTATCCGGAAAGCCGGATACCGTGGAGGCGTGGGATTGGCCACTTGCGGGCATATCTTTCGAGATTTCCCAAACGCCAAGAAGATCGATCGATGGACGCGGTCGGCTAGTACGTGGCGGTCGCAGCCGATGGCGGCTCATGGCTGACTGCTGCTGTAGCAAGCAGCTCTACGACGAGCCTCTGCTTGACCGCAGCATCAACGAGCCGGCGCCAAGCCTCGGCGGCTTGAGCCTCGCCTCGGTCATCACGCAGCTCAACTCGTTCCTTGCCGTGCTCTGGCCTGTCTTGATCACCATGGTGCTCACAAGGTACGCACCATGGCATGCAGACAGCCGTAATACCATGATTGCATGCCTAGTCTTGTGGCTGTCTCGGTGCAAGACAGCGAGACCCAGGCCGCGATGAAGTACATAGAGCATTTGAGGACGATGGAGTGGATTCACGACTGCTCTTGTAGCCAATACCTCTACTACAAGGACATTGACGCATCAAGTGCGACGGCGGGCACCAAGACGATCGAAGCGCTCACGAACGCGCTTGTCGTCATCTTCTTCATTGCGATCGTGACCTTTGTGGTCGTCCTGCTCTACAAAGTCAACTGCATGATCGTACGACCCAATTTGGCTGGCGCGAAACCCATCAGGTACACTTATCGCGTAGGGACTCACGGGCTATCTGATGCTGTCGTCCTCGACGCTACTGGGGCTCGTTGGAAGCGCGCTCGTGCAGAAGATCTTTTGCGGGCTCTTCCACTGGCGCCTCGAAGTCTACACAACGAGCCTCATCATGTACAACTTTGCCATCGTCGGGACGGTCAGCATTTTCTACCAGAAGGGCGTCTCGCCCAATATTGGCCGAATGTACCTCATTCTCACCAGCGTCATCATGGCGTGGCAGCTCTGCCAGCTGCCCGAGGTACGGCGACGAGCGAACTGCAAAGGATGGCATCTGCGATGTAGTGGAGTACGTGGGCGATTCTCTTCGCCTTGGCCTTCTGGGACCTCTTTGCTGTCTTGACGCCGTGCGGCCCGCTGCGGTGCTTGGTGCGTTTCCAGACGACTCAGATCTGATTTGAAGGCGTCCTGGTAGGTCAACTTGATCCAGTCGGAAGGCCGGCCGATGCCAGGGCTTCTCTACGAAGCCGAAATCCACGACGGCCACGTGCGCAAGCACAAGTCGGGCAGCACGCGTGCGCTGCCCATGGCGCCAGCGGCCTCGAGTGACATGGAGATGGTGCAGCGTCGAAGCGACGACGCATTTCTGACATTTGAGTCGCAATTGCGCGACTTTTGCGTCGACGTGGGGTCGCCCAACGGCCACCACGTCCGCGCAGTCGCGCTGCAGTACGTCGATCGGCAAAAGGACTGCTGGCGCATGCTCTACACGAAGTACAACATCACATTTGTGGCGGCGCACAAGTCGTATCCGGACGTCGCTCTCGTCTTTGCCGATGCCGGGGGCCAACGTACGTGGCTGGTTTCGATGCAGTGACGATGAACCATCACGTAGACGCTCGGGAAACCATCAAGCTCGGCCTTGGCGACTTTATCTTTTACAGTGTGCTCGTTGCGCGCGCGGCCATGACGGGCTTTGCTGCTTTTGTCGCGTGCTTCGTTTGTGTCATTATCGTACGTCGTTTTTGCCAAGTGGTGCGACGATCCTCGATCTATCGTAGGGGCTCGCGGCCACCATGTACTTGCTCGCCCACTTCAATGCGCTTCCGGCGCTGCCGATTTCAGTGCTGCTTGGCATCTTGTGCTTTTTCCTCATGGTTCAAATGGGCAGTCCGTTCGTCGACGCGCTCGTCTTTCGGGGCATTTGTTGATAGAATTTCGCTATATTGCATGACAAAATATCCATTTTAGTGCCAATATGTGTCCACTTCCGCACCGCTCCATCGATACGCGTTCTCCTGCTGCCACGTCATTTGCCGTTTCAAATGTGCATCCGGATAACCGACTTGGAATAAGATCGCGACCGAGCAAGATGCCCCGGCGCCAGGCGACGCGGCCGCTCCTCGCGATGGACATGCGCATCGTGTATCGCATGTACCGGTACAAGGAGGTAGATAACGCCTTCCGTGATGGTGTCAACGACGGCGACGTAGGCGTGGCCAAGCCTCAGCGTCGTCTTGCACAGTCTTACGTCGCGGTACCGGACGCAGGACATTTCGCTCGTCCTTTGGTCCACACGTCTTTAGCCAGCGATGTTGCTCAATCGCATTGCGTTAAATAGGTTTATCTTTGTGGCCATGACACCCGAGCTCGGGTTTCGCTACGTCTGGAACGTTGTCGGGAATCTTTTCGCGGTGTTTGCGCTGCAGTACGTCGTCCAAGCCAAGCGGCCCATCGACTACGACGCCCGCTTGCACCTCCCGGAGTGCACGGACCCCGACACGATGGGGTTTCCGTCGCTCGACTCGCACATGGCGATCGTCATTGTCGGTCCAACGTACTTTGTACCGTCTGTCTCGCCCGTCACGAGCGCGGTACCCACGCTTCTTGCTCATGATGCTACCACGGGTGCTAGATCTTCACCGCCTGTGTGCTCCTCATTGGGTGGACACGCGTCTGGATCGGCATGCGCTTCCCGTCGCAGGTCGTGGCGTCGTGGTTCACTGGCATTGTTGGCGTCATCGTCGGCAACCTCTGCCACTACACGCTCCTCGCGTACGAGGTTCCTGCCTACTACAAGTACGCTTGTACTCGTTCTGTACTGACAAGGGTGACGCGCGCTGCGTAGTCGCGTGTGTCTGTTGCTGCTTATCGCGAGTGCGGCTTTCTGCCTCGCCACGTGGGTCGAGCGCGCCGAGTGCCGCGTGGTTGGGGTGCCGCGGGCCGAGTTCACGCGCGTGCTCTCGCGCATTCTGCATGGCGACGGCTCGGACGGCGCGCCGGTCACGGACCAAACGCTGCTGACGCCGCAAACCAAGAAGCGCGACTCGTTCTACTTTCTCATGAAGTCGATGCAAGCCCGCCGCAAAATGACAAATTACGACGCCATGGCAACGAGCGACACTTCGTAGTTAGTAGCTCGTTAGTTCAAGTACGTGGTCATGAGCTCCTTGAGTTCGTCGCGGACCGTCTTGGCGAGGCGCGGAAGGAACGCGCCCTTGCCGATCCAGAGGTTGTGGAGGAGCTTGTCGCGGAGGATCTTGAACACCTTGTCGTCCATGCCGGCCACCGGGAGAAGCACGGCGACCGCGGGCCCGAGCGGGAGGTTGGCCAGGTCGGACGTCGAGGGGTGCGCGGCCACGTCTTCCAGCGCCGTAAACTGAACCGCGACTTCGCTTTCGATCAAGAGCTTGAGGTCGCGCGCCGAGAAGGCGAGGAGACGTGCGTTCATGTACGGGCGGAGCACCGCGAGACCCTCCTGTCAAAGCGTATTCAACTTACGCAGCCCAATAGATAGAAGGACAACGTACCGTCGTTGGGCGGTAGTACGTGCCCTTGCCGATGCTGGCCTTGGTGAAGATCTTGAGACCCGTGTTGACAATCTATGGCATCGACGACAGTAAGATCGGAGCGCCGTGTCTTGTTGTCGCACGTGGATGGCGTCCCCGGCCAAGCACGACGCAGCAATGCCGTCCTCGACGTAGCTGAGGTTGGCGCCCGAGTCGGCGCGGCACCACAAGTAGTTCTACCGCAGTTCGTGTCCTGTGATCGCCATCGAGAGAGACTTGGTTTCTACCTTGAGCGACGCGTCCGTGATCTCATAGTACGCTTGGATCGTGTCCCACACGTCGTCGGGAATCCGGCGGTACGGAGCCTCCTTCGGGATCTTGTGCTCGACGCGGGGCTTCTTGGCGACCGGTTCGTCCGACGGTTCCTTGATCTCGTAGCGCGCGCAGCTCTTCATGTAATGGTCGTCTTGGATGCCGCAGATCTTGCACGTGTAGCCCGCGGGCGGCTTGCCATTCTCGATTTCATCGAGCGGCGCCAAGCCCGTTTGGTTCTCGCCCGGCAGCTCGCGCACCTTGCGCAGCACCGCGATGAAAAAGCCGCCCGAGTCCTGGTCCGTGGGCACGAGGCGCATGCAGCGGCGCAGCGACGCAAGCATGTCTTCGCTCGTGGGCGGGAACATTGCGCGCAGAATCCGGTCGGCTTGGAGCTGGAACGGGACGTCCTCGTACGTGTCAAACCACTGGTGGAGCTGCTCTTGGTCGCCGACAAGCACCTTGTTGATGATGTGGCCCTTGGCCGTCGCGCGCGACTTGGACCGCCACCCGACCTGCCACTTGTTGCGGCCCGGGCGGTACGCGAGGCCCGGGAGCGTCCCCGACGCGTCGACGACCTCGAGTGCGCCGTCCGCGCGGCGCAAGAGCTCGGCGACGATCGCCTCATCTTCGATCGGGTTGAACGAACACGTCGAGTAGACCATGGTGCCGCCGACCTTGAGGAGCGAGGCGCCCCGGAGCGCGAGCGCGAGCTGCGTCGGGAAGAGCGTGAGGCCTTGGCCAATGTGCCAGTCCTTCCACAGTCCCTGGTTCTTGCGCAAGGTGCCGTCGCCGCTGCAGGGCACGTCGCAGAGGACGCGGTCAAAGACGTTGGTGCGTTGAAGAACTCCGTTGGTGTCATAGAGACCCGGAAAGTCCTGGCCGGGCGTGCACGTGACGACGGCCGACTGCAGCGTGTTGCGCGAGAGGCGGTGCACGAGCATGTAGGCGCGCTTCTTGTTCATGTCGTTGGCGACGACCATGCCGGCTTGGTTCTGGAGCAAGTCGATGATCTGCGTCGTCTTGGAGCCGGGCGACGCGCACATGTCGAGGATGCGGTGGCCAGGCTGCACGCCGAGGAGGAGCACCGGAAGCATGCTCACAGCCTCTTGACGGTCAATGTTGCCGTACTCCGTGTGCTTGAGCAGCGTCGCGTGGAAGTCGCGCACTTCCTCAAATTGATGCGCTACGCATCGCGAGAGCATTGAACGCCATTTTAATTTATAAGGTGGGCGTACCCGACTTGGAGAAGGCGCTGCGGCCGCAGTCGACCTGCCACGCCGTCTTTTCCTGCGGATACCACGCAATCGGACTAGGAGAGAGACGTGAGGAAGACGCTCGTCGAATGCTCTTGCAGCGTACCGAGGCGGGTGGATGGGCACGTCGTTGTGGCTGTACTTGGTGGCATCAAACTGGAAGGTTTCGCCGAAGAGCGACTTCAACCTAGCGAGGATGCTGCTGCTGCTGCGTCCAACGATCGGAAATGGTACCGCTCCGACTCGAGGCCGTCATAGTTGAGGCGAAAGCACACGGGCAGCGGCGCTTCCAAGATGGCCATCATGGCGTCGGCCTCAGCCTCGGGCACGACCTGCGTGTGCAGCTACGAGGATGTATAGCGTGAGTCCCGGCGTTGCACGGGCGCGCTGCGTACGAGGTACTCGCGGAAGACGGCCTTGAACTCGGCGAGCTTGTCGGCCTTGGCCGTCGATGGTGGCTGCTCCGTGGGCTCGGCCTGCTGCTGCTGCGTGGGCTCCATGCGCAATCGATCGCCAACCAAAATCTGCACCTTGAGGCGAGTGGCGCGTTTTGATTGGCCAAGAGGAAATGGCTATATGCACGCAACTTTCTTGTCCTCTGCCACCCCAGCTCCATTTCCCCAGCACTCGACGCAAGCGACAAGAGAGCGGCGACTGCGTCAGGCAGCCACCGTCGTTTCTATTAACTACCATAATCCATGCACTACTACGGCAAACGCAGAGGGTCGACAGCGCGGCCGGCCAGCACCACTACCCCGAGCGCGTTGCAGAAGCAAAGCATGTACACCTCGAGGTAGCAGCCTGGGACCGACCGCGGCCGCCGCCTATGGGCCCGCCGACAGCAATAAAATAAGCGTCAGGCTGCGGCGCCCACAGCTCCATGCAGCAAGCACGTGCGTGGGCCACCATCAACTTACTGGCGCATGACTTGAGCGACCGCCTACAAAAGATAGTGCGTCAGCTGCCATCGACCACCGGCGCGAGGGTATGTACCTCCTTGGCCCACAGCGCAACGTTCTGCGCGTTGCCTTCCTGCGAGTTGGCGCACTCGACGAGGAGCGTGCCAATGTACGGCTGCTGCATGAGCGGCTTGGACGCCGCGCCGAGGATCGTCGCGAGATCGCTATACAACAAACAGCGTCAGTGACATGACCTTCGATGCTAGTCGACACGTACCCAATCAAGCCGGCGCACGAGTTGGTGACGCTTTCGCTGCGGTTGGGGTCGGTCGCGAGCTGCGCGATAAAGTTGCCAATGCCGCCGAGCGCGGGCTCGACGAGCTGGCCCTTGTTGTGCGACGCCAGACCCTGCAAAATGCCCGTAAAGGCCTCGAGGATGCTCTCGCGGAGCTGGTTCATGTAGTCAATCACGTCTTCGTCGTCGACGTCGACCGAGACGCACGCGTGCGCGGCTTGGAGTAGCATCTGCACGACGGGCGTAAAGTACCGGTCAAAGTCGCCCTCAATGGCGAGGCCAATGTCGCCAAAGACCGAGAGGACCGGCGGCTTGACCGAGCGGTTGAGGTTCGTGTCGCGGAGGATCGTGAGGAGGAGCTGGATAAACTCGTCGCAAAACACCTTGACGTCCGAGCCGAGCGCACGGCACACGTCGCCGACAACGCCAACCGCCGCCGCGCACACCATGTACTCGGACGTGTTGCTGAGGCCGTGCACGAGCACCGGGTAAAAGGCCGTCATGTACTTCTTGAATTCGGCGTCGATCGCGCCGGCGAGCGCACCGGCGGCAAGGAAGGCTTCTTCGCCGGCCGTGGTGTGGCCCGTGCTGAAAATATCGAGGAGGCACTGCATGATGCGATCGGCAAACGGGCGAATGTCGTCGTTCACGCGCTGGATGATGACGACGAGCACGTCGCATGCGCACGTGTAGAGGCCGTAAAACTCATTCGACGCGACGGGCGACGCCTTGTGCTTGGCAATCGTGCCCTCGAGGTGGTCGAGGATCGACGAGAGGCGGCTGAGAATGTGCGGCGTCATGTTGAGCGAGCCGCACTGGATCATCATGCCCAGAGCCTCAAAGGCTGAGACGCGCAAGTTGTCGTCGTTGGGCTTCTGGCACGTGACCAAGCACTTGTCAAAGACCTGGCCGTAAAACTGGTCGAGCTGCTCCGGGCCGTTCTGGAGCTCGCTAAAGGCCTGGAAGATGTAGTGGATGGCGTAGCACATGTGCGCCGCGACCTTGGACTCTTGGTCGAGGCCGTTCATGATGAGCTGCATGAGCGGGCCGACGCAGCGCGTCATGACCGTGCCGTGGATCTCGCAAATGCGGCCAATCGTCCACGCCGTCGTGTCGCGCACGAGCGGGTGCGGGTCTTGCATGCACGTGATGAGGAGCGGCATCGCCTGCTCGACAAGCGGCTGGATCTGCTCGTGCGTGGGGCCGTCGAGGATCGAGCCGAAGGCCATGATGGCCGCTTCCTTGTGGTGCCAGTCGGCCGACTGGATGTTCGACGACACAAACGGCATGACGACCGGGATGATCGCGTTGTCGACGACCTGCGACGCCAGCGTGAGCGCCGTCGCACCCGCCATCGAGAGGTTCCACGTGTCGTCTTCAAACTGGTCTTCTTCCTGCTGGAGAAGCGTGTTCAACAGAACCGGCGCGAGGCTACCAAGCACTTGCTTGACGTAGTACTTGCACTGGTTGGGGTACTCGGACCCGTACTCCATCTCGGCAATGTACTCGAGCTCCACGTCGCAGATAGACGACCAAAACTCGAGCGACTGGAGGCCGACTTCGGGGCTGTCGCTCTGAATGGCCTTGAATGTCAGGTCGTAGAGTGCGTTCATGTACGACTCGAGGTACTCGTAGTAGAGGCTGGCGATCGTGGCAATGCACTCAAAGGCGCGGACGCGGACTTGCAGGTGGCTGCACTGCGTGGCCTCGCAAATGACCATCATGATGTGGTTGCGCTCGTCGTCGCGCTTGAAGTTCTCGCTAATGTACTCGAGACTGTTGCGGAGTGCCGAGACTGCGGCGAGCCGAATCTTGTCCGGGTTGGTCGTCTTGATGCCATCGACAATCGCGCTGAGGACCTGGTTCGTCTCCTCGGCCGCAAGCGTGTCGTCCTCGAGGCCTTCGCACAAGTAGCCAAGCGCTTCGAGCGAATAGTTCTTGGCGTTGTCCGTGCCCGACGTCACGTTCGTCATGAGCGCGGGCAAGATCTCGGGCCAGTTCTTGCGCGGAAGATCGATCGAACCAATCTTGGCAACGACAACTGCCGCCGTATGGGCCGCGCCAACGTCGGCGTCTGTGAGCGTGCCGAGCGCAGCGGCCTTGATCTGGTTGCGGAGGTCGACGTTGAGCGCATACCAGTTCTGAATCTTGAGCTCCTGGAGCGCCTCGTCCTTGGCGTCGAGCAAGTTCTTCAGGTAGAGACCGGCCTGCTGGCGACCGCCCGACGGAAAGTCGGCCGCCGCAAGCGCTTGCGCCAGCGTCAGCATGAGGCTACCGGCGTTCGACGCAAGGGCCTGGTTGAGCACCTCTTCGGCTTGCTTGCGGAGGTTGGCATCTAGAGGTGCATGAGCCCATGTCTACCTCGATCAGGTCGTCTTCGTACCAGGGCTCGCAGATGCCAGAAGAGCGTTCGGGATGTCCATGCTGCTGGAGGTGAGGAAGTCGACCGCTCGATTCTTTGGCTGTGGTGATGCCAAAATGTCGGGATCCAATTGCTGAAACAGCCTGCTTCTGACATCTTTTGACGCCTTCCGACACCTATTGACGGCGAAGTGAGCAGGTGCCCGAGAAGGCCCCGTCTAAGTACGACCTCATGGCAAGTGCGACACGCGTACGGTCCCATAAGATATACAAAAGCTTATAGACTCGATCAAGTGCGCCGAGACGGGCGAAGTGGCGCCAAACCATAAGTTGGCCCGATCCTTGAGCCTTCCTTGACACGTGTGGCCAGCCTTTGCTCGTCGCGACGGCAGCTGCGAGCGCCATTGAAATCCGACGACGGAGTCTCTACTGTATACAGGTTCCTGAATATGACGTGATTCTCTGGCCAACGCTATAGAACCAGTAGCAAGCACGCGAGGAGGACAAGCGTCGTTCTGGCTGCGACAGCCGTGGCACTGCCACAAGGTACTTGGGCGCTTTTCTCAAAAAGGCGAGGCGTTTTCTGAAAAGTGCTCGAAACACCGTAATTTTCAAAACCAACCAATCGACGCCGCTGTATCCTGAAATTTAGACCAATCCGAGAAGCGCTGGTGGCAACATTCTCCACATATCGTGAAATTGCGCCACGTGACGTGGCACGCAGAATGCAGAAAGCGGCGGGCGCACCTTGTCTGTCGCTGCCGCAGACAACGCAGCTTATCCTGCGATTGGATTACTTCTTTTGCTGTAGTAGCTGCACTGTACGTGTTTTCCTTCGTACCGTTTTATGCATTGGCCGTACTGTCGTCAATCTGTCAACAGACAAGGTGTTTGCATTTACGAGAAGAACGACGAGGAATGTACAACTACATTTTCATTCGATTAGTCGTCGTGCTCTATGATTGCATTGGGACTTTAATAAACAAATCGTCGTCCGAGTCGGACCCATAGATGAAAAAGGAGCCGCGGGCCGAGACGGGCGGGTCCTTGGCGCTGTTGCGGAACGGGATCTGGACGACAACTTTCTTGCAGATCGTGAGGCGGTAGCCATGGTAGAACCGATCGGCCGACTCGGTGCGCACAAAAAGCATAAGCACGAGCCCAAGAAGCGCGAGTACCCAGAAGACGCGGAGGTCGTGGGCCCCGACGCCGTGGGCCACCATCGGTCCAACAAAGTCCGCGACAGCCAAGTAGATGCTGAACGTAAAGCCGTACATGACGCCCGTGTTGATGACGCCGTACATATCCGTGGCAAAGCACGTGACGAGGGACGCGCCGGCGCCACTCAGAAGCCGCGTGAGATAGATCATCGTCGGCACCGTCTCGTCAAAGTTGTCGGCAAAAATCGGCAGCGCAATCACGGCGGCGACGAGAAGGGCCGTGAACACCGCCTTGCGGGCAAACGCGGGGTTGGCGTAAAAGACACGCACGATCACGTCCGAGATCATGGGCACGACAAGCCGCCCGAGGAGCCCGGACGCGCCGCCGTACGTGACGAGCGACGAGGCTTCGTCCTTCGTTCGGTTGTACGTCGACGCCCACGTTGCCGTGTCGGGCGCCGCGAGCGGAAAATACGGTAAATTGAGCATCGAAATTGCCACAAACGCGACGCAGAGACAGAAAAAGTCGGTCGAAAAGACGCACTGGAGCAGCGAGAGCGCCTTGACTTGCTCATGGTACTGGCGCAGCGTGCCGTCGAGGCCCGTCGTCGACTCGGCGACAATCTCAACGTTGACGAGCGTCATGCCGACCTTGAAGTACTCGTCGTGGACTTCCGCGGGCACCGATTTGTGCGCGGGAATGCCGTGCATGTCGTGGCCGTGCGCGGTAAAGTCGGGCGGTGGCGTCCGCAGCACGATCGTGCACGCAAGGAGGAGCGGCAGTA